CCAATACCACACCCTCTTAATTAATGTAGTTTTATAGTAAGTCTTAAAGTTGAGTAGTGTCAGTCCTCTAACTTTGTTCTTCTCTTTTAATATTGTGTGGACTATTCTGTAAGGCTTTGGCCTCACTGCATAAACTTTAGAATCAGTTTGTTGACATTTATAAGATAACTTGCTAGGATTTATTTTTATTTTTTGAGACAGTGTCTATATTGCCCAGGATGTCTTGAACTCCTAGACTCAAGTGATCCTCTTGTCTTGGCCTCCTGAAGTGCTGGGATTATACAGGTGAACCAATACACCTGGCCTTTGCTGGGATTTTGATTGAGACTATATTGAATCTATAGACCACGTTGGAAAGAACTGAAATCTTGGCCAGGAGTGGTGGCTCATACCTGTAATCCTAGCACTTGGGAGACCGAGGCAGGCAGATTGCCTGAGCTCAGAGGTTCGAGACCATCCTGAGCCAGAATGAGACCTCATCTCTAAAAATAGCTGGGCATTATGGTGGGAACCTGTAGTCCCAGCTACTTGGGAGGCTAAGGCAAGACACTCATTAAAGCCCAAGAGTTTGAGGTTGCTGTGAGCTCTGACACCACAGCACTCTACAGAGGGCAACAAAGTGAGACTCTATCTCAAAAAAACACAAAAAAACAAAAAAGGTTCCACCCATAGCACAGTGGTTATGGTGCCAGCCACATACATTGAGAGTGGCAGTTTCGAACCTGGTCCAGGACAGCTAAACAACTACAACAACAACAACAAAATAGCCAGGTATTATGGCAGACGCCTGTAGTCCCAGCTACTTGGGAGGCTGAGGCAAGAGAATTGCTTAAGCCCAAGAGTTTGAGGTTGCTGTGAGCTATGACGCCATGGCACTCTACCAAGGGTGACACAAAAAAAAACTGTCTTGGTTATGTTGAGTCTTCCCACCTAAGAACATGGAATATCTTTAAATTTATTTGGTTCTTTGATTTCTTTCATCATAGTTTCACATGTAGTTTTCTGTCATGTATAAGAGGCCAGAACTTCCTTTCTGTATTTATTAGTACTTTGATCAGAGAAATCCAAAGTCTGCCATATTGGAGATGATCTAGAATTCAAAGCTGTCTCTTAGACTATAGGCTTCGAAACATTGGCTTGTCATGTTAAACCAGGTTTGCCCAGGAGGTAGAACTACAGCTGGAATAGCAAAGGTGCTAAGAGAGGAAACCTGTCCTCCTACCTGGCTTTTGTGGGTGAGAGATACTGACGTAGGCTCAGTGCCTGTGGCTCAAGTGGCTAAGGCTCCAGCCACATACAGCTAAGGTGGCAAGTTCAAATCCAGCCCAGGCCCACCAAACAACAATAATGGCTGCAACCAAAAAAAAAAAAAATTAGCTGTGCGTTGTGGCGGGTGCCTGTGGTCCCAGCTACTTGGGAGGCGGAGGCAGGAGACTCGCTTGAGCCCAGGAGTTGGAGGTTGCTGTGAGCAGTGAAGCCATAGCACTCTACCCAGGGGGACAGCTTGAGGCTCTGTCTCAAAAAAAAAAAAAAAAAAAAAAAGAGAGAGAGATACTGATGTAGATAATAGAAGGAATATATGGCTATCTCATCCTCATCAGGAAATTAGCTCTATGATTTGAGCTATGCCATAGGCATCAGAGTGCAAAGCAGGAACTTTGGCCACCAGCCTTTCCAACTGAGGATCCTGCAAAATCATTTGTGGGACTCTTAGTGAAGATAAGTCTCATACTCAATTGGAAAGGTCTATGAGCTGAGGTGGAAGGGAGCTGTGGAAATTTGAAAAAAAAAAAAGAAAAAAAGAAGGATTGGTGGGTATTCTGATGAGGTAGGCATATTCTTCATGACTGGAAGAATCTTGCTTGGTTGATTTGGTGATTGTTGTTGCTGCTATTGCTTCTGCAATTTGAATCACCTGCTCCTGAACCAAACCTGGGCATGTGGGAAGAAGGAAAATTGTGGTCTGTTCATGGAGTAGACATTTGAGGAAACAAAACAAACATGAAAACAGCTGGATTATAATCTTCATGTCCTCCTCTCTGAGTTCCATAACACTGTGTTCTTCACTGTTGACTGTGGTAAGTTAAGTTTCCAAGTTAGTTTCATCTGCAGATTTTTTTTAGGTTAATGTGAGGGTACAACTAGGTTACCATATTTGCATTTGTTAGGTAGAATCCCTCTTGTAGTTGTGTCCTGAACCCAAAAGGTGTGCCATATACCCTTACATTGTGCCTGTTAAGTGGGACCACACCAATCCCTTTCCTTTCTTCCCTCCTCCCCTCTTCCCCTTCGCTCATCTTTTCCCCCCAACTTGAATTGAATTGAGTTTTTCCTCTTATGTGAACGTGTTCAGTCATAAAAAAAAGATGAAGACTTTACATGTTTTGTATTAACCTGAATGAAGTTGAAACACATTCTTCTTAGTAAAGTATTGTTAAGAATGAAAAAGCAAATATCCAATGCACTCAATAGTAATATGAAATCAGTACATGATCTAATACACGCCATCTGCAGATTTTTATCTGAGAATGTGGTGTGACCAACAGAGCCAACAAAGTCTACAACTCTTCATATTATTTGTGAGTGAATGTGGTTTTGTTTTTTTTTTTTTGTTTTTGTTTTTGTCTTTGACAGGAAGTATCACTCTGTCACCCAGACTAGAGTGCTATGATATCAGCCTAGCTCACAGCAATCTCAAACTCCTGGGTTCAAGCAATCCTCTGGCTTCAGTCTCCCACGTAGCTGAGACTGTAAGTACCCACCACTATATCCTCTAACTTTATCGATTTTCTCAAGCTGGTCTCCAACTCCTGACCTCAAGCGATTCTCCTACCTTGGCCTCTCAGAGGGCTAGGATAACAGATGTGAGCCCCCATGCCAATCTGTGGTATGTTCTTGATGCTTCTTCCGTATTGTGGAACTGGCTAGACCTTGTGGTATCAAGAACATGCTGCAATCACCTGTGTTGTTGATCAAAGTGTGTGGCTCATGAGTCACAAAGGAGACTCTGTTCATCAGAGGTGCAGGACTAGCTGGATCCTGTGGTAACAGCAAGTCCATGTTGGAATAATTAATATTGATAAAAGAGTCTGGTTGAGGATTCTCTGAGAGCATTCTGCTCATCAGGGTTTTTGAAATCTGTTATGAATCCCCTTGAAGCATCCATTTTCAATCTTGCTTGGTGTGTCTCTCTGGATATGCAGTTTCTTCAGTGTTCTCATATAGATATTGTATATATTTTGTTATATTTACACCTAAGGATTTCATTTGGGGGGCACTATTGTAAATAGTATTATATTTTTTATTTCAAATTCCACTCTTTCTTTGCTGGTAGATGGGAAAGTGATAGACTTTTTATACTTACCTTATATCTTATGACCTTGCTATAATCATTTATTAACTACAAGAGGGTTTTTTTGTTGATCCTTTTGGATTTTCTACATATAAAATCTGCATATAAAAACAATATCATTATATTCTTCTCCATCAGCATACCTGCTATTTCCTTTTCATGTCTTATTGTGTTGGATGAGTTAGATGGGACTTCCAGTATAATGCTGAAAAGGAGTAATGAGAAGTGACATTCTTGCCTTCCTCCTGAAGTTCATTCTTTTTTTTTGAAACAGAGTCTTACTTTGTCACCCTTGGCAGAGTGCCATGGCATCACAGCTCACAGCAACCTCAAACTCCTGGGTTTAAGCAATTCTCTTGCCTCAGCCTCCCAAATAGGTGGGACTACATGCACCGACCACAATGTCTAGCTGTTTTTTTAGAGACAAGATTTTGCTCTGGCGCAGGCTGGTCTTGAACCTGTCAGCTCAGGCAATCCACCCACCTCAGCCTCCCAAGTGCTGGGATTACAGGCATGAGTCACTGTGCCCAGCCTGAAGTTCATTCTTTTTTATTCCAAGTGTCTACTGTATGAATATTTCATAAATTGTTTATCCATTTTCCTATTGATGAACTTGTGGACTGTTACCCATTTGAGGTTCTTATGAATGAAGTTCCATGAATTTTCTTACATGTCTTTTGTGGACATGTTTTAATTTTGCTTAGGGAAACTCCTATGAGTTAAATTCCTAGGGCTTAAGATAGATGAATATTTAATATTATAAGAAGCTGCTTTCCAAAGTAGCTGTACCACATCATGCTTCCACCAGCAATGTATGAGAATTTCAACTGTTCTGTGTGCTCACCAGCATTTAGGTCTTTCAGTCTCTTTTAACTTGGTCATTGTAGTAAATGTATAGCAATATCTTATTGTATCTTTCCCTCCCCCCAAAAGGAAGGGGTTGCCAGTCAAATATTGAGAAGCCAGAAGAGCAAAACAAACAACCAACTCCCCCAAAAAAACATAGACAAGTTTTTATTGGGATATTTAAGTTTTTATTGAGATTTATGTATCATACAATTCATTCATTTAAATTATACAAGATGGCCTATATTCACAAGACTGTGCATCCATCTCCATAATCAATTTTAGTTCATTTTTATACCTCAAAAAGAAACCTTGCATTCCTCAATCATCACCCATCCCCCCAAGATTCTCCATCCTCCCTCCAAGCCCTGGGCAGCTACTAACTATTTTCTATCTCTGTAAATTTGCAATTCTGGACATTTCATATAAATGGAATTGGACTACGTGTGTTCCTTTGTGACTGATTTCGTTTACTTAGCAATACATATATATTCAAGATTCTTGATGGATGTGTTACTTAGTTCAATGTAAGCATTTCAAATTGTATACAGAATCAGTACCCTGAACCCCATAAATGCATCAATCTACAATGTTATGATTTAATAAAAAATAATTTTTAAAAAGATTCTTTTATGCTGTAGTCAAAGAATTTACCACATTTTATTATCCATTAGTCAACTGATAGACATTTGGGTTGTTTCTACTTTTTGGCTATTATGAATAATGCTGCTATGAATATTCGTTAACAATTTTCCTGTGTGGACATATATTTTTATTTCTCTTATTTTCATTTTTTTTGTGGAAAAATCTTTATTTTAAGAAAAAAATTTAGTTAACAAAAAAATTTAACAAGTTTCACTTAGCAAAATACACCCCAAAGGAAATCACAGTACAAAGAAAGTTTTAAGTCAAGGCCTCACCAATCCCTGCAGTATTAGTATTGTGTCTTAATTCTCAAAACTAACTCTTAAAAAGCTTAAATTTAACCTAAAAGATTTTAAATGAAAATAAACTAGAATGAACATGAGAAATATTTCTTTTTGAATCAGGGAGCTAGCACCTTTGAGTTTTCAAAAAAAGCATGTCTCAACAGTGTGTTCACTGCGATGTAGTGGCAAAAGGTCCATATTTAACATACTTAAACTACTTAACCTCAAATAACATCACTCTAAAGTATACTACCAGAATGTTAATTGGGAAAAGCTGAAAATAGTTTTAGTTTACTCAATATCACATGCTAGAAGAAAAGTTTGCATGAGAAAACACTGAAGAGGTAATTTTTTTGATCCAGATTTCACAAACTCATGCTGCAAAACGGGTCCCCACAGCTTCCTCTAGAGTTATAACTGCTCTTCATTGCTTGTTGGCTGCCTGTGAAAATTTGATTGAAAAAAGTTAAATGTTCCTACAAAACTAGTCGTACCCACCCATGCTGTACTGCCCGCTGTAGGCAGCCCCGTAGCAGCCACTGACTGACTGGCTCTCCAACCCACTGTAAGTGGCCTGGGCTGCTGACACGCCATGCCTTGCATCACCTGGCTGCTGTATGCTGCACTGCTGGCCCCTGTTGTTGAATTCAAGAAGAGCTCTATGAATCTGTGCTGCATGTTAGTCCTGTCTTTCGACATTGTTGCCACAGCCTCTTCGTGAGTGGCAAACTCTACATCTGCTTGGCTGGTCACTCTTCCATCTGGGCCAATCTCGATATGCATTCTCACAGGGTTGAGTGGAGAGAAGAAGTTGTAAATGTCATTCTCACGTCTCTATGTATGGCAGCCCCTTCATGTGGTGCAGTGCCCAGTGGTGCTCTGCACTGCAAACTCACCATCTCCATATCTGTGGTCATACATCCCAGAGAGACAGTAGCTGAGGTCTCTTCCAAATAGGTCAGTGGTGAAGCCGTAGCCATCGCTGAGGCTTCTGTACTTTTTATAGCCACTGTAGCCTTCACTGTAGGCACCAGGCTACATCCTATCCAGGCCGGCTTGCTTCTACCAATGTATCTCCTAACTGTGCCAGGGCAGTCACAGGGCCCTGGCCGCTGCACAGACAAGAACTTTAGAGGGAGATCAGAGTATGACCTAACTTCCTCCTGACTGCTCTTGAACACTTCTATATATCTGTGCCCTATCCTCTCCTTGTGCTTCCCCAGAGCCTTCTCAGCTAACTCCTGGGAGGCAGACTGTACAAAAGCTTCCCCTGTTATCTTGCCCTCAGGGTCCACAGGTAATGTGATCCCGTTTGGCATGATTTCCAACCGTGAGAAGAACTGGACAATTTCTTCCTTTGTGAATCCAAATGGGAGTCCTCGATGTCCGACGAAGCCATCGTTGGCGCTGTCAGCACTCTTGGGACCACTGTGCTTCAACACACAATCCATCTTGGTTCTGTGGGACTTGAACACCTCAATGTACCGGTGTCCCATGCTTTCCCTGTCTTTTTTCAGGGCCATTTTTACATCATCTTCTGATTCAAGTTCAACAAAAGCCTCACCACTCTGCCTGCCCTCTCTAGTGTAGATGAAGTGGACACCTGTGGTCCCATCACGAATTGTGCAGTTGGAGAGGAAGTTCTGCATGTCTTCAATAGAGCAGGGCCAGGGTAGGCCACGGAGCTTGACCACAAAACCTTCACCTCCCTCGGGGCCCAGCATCATTGACACTTGGTAGGGCACTGATTTTTTTTTTTT